GGGGGGGGGGGGGGGGGGGTCAAATTGAAAACACTGTTCTACAATTGTCAGGATTTCAGGATCACAGGTTTATTTAGTTATCACCTGGGCACTCTTCACAGAAGAAATAGGCAACAGTAATAAAATAATAGTAAAGGCTGTAGAATGTAGCTACTGATTCTCTGTACATCAGAGTAATCCAGCATTCCATAGCAATGCTTTTATATATGTTACCTGTGAGATGCATATGAAACAAATGCCCAACCAAGACCACATCCTGGAGGATGCCTGTATACAGCCAATGGAGTTCCAAAATTCAGGAATATGTTTCTAATACCATCCTGAAATAAATGTAACAATATTACACATCACATCAAAACAATGACCAAGGAAAAGAAATGAAGTTACAACAATTCTATAAATAAAAAATTCAAATTAAAGAAATAACTTAATTACTACAATTTTCAAAGGAAGTGAAATATTTAATTTTGAAACTATTTACATAAAAAAAATATCATGGCACAAAACTTCACATTCTAGTCCCAATAGTCTATTATCTATCACCCATAACATAGAGGAAACTAAAATATACATAGCCTCCATGCCGGTTATACATTTTAAATAAAATTATTTTACCAAAAGTAGCAAAAACTTAAACTGTTATCTCACAACACCTTGGGACACTACATTAAGTGGTGCCAATTTGTAATCACTCATGGTAGAAAATCATGTGTATGTGTGAACTTCTAGGGACATGATGTTCATATAAGATGTTTCAGGAAAATTCATCAAATGGTTCAAACATTACTAAAGGGGAAAAACATGGGCTTGCTGATACTGCAAGCCTGTACAAAGTAAAGGAAAGTTGTGTATAAATCAATTACCTCTGTCAGTTTTGGAGGAACATTCTTTATGTACAGTTTGAAGACAGTATTTTCCCTTTCCAGCCTGAAAATAAGAAAATCCTTTGACAGTTACTTGAGAAACAAGCAAAACTGAATAAGTACCTCTTCACTATTTCCCTGTTAGTGAACAGTTCATAAGCGGCTGCCATTCAACCCTAACCTGACCTAGATGAATTGAGTCAATACCCTCACATTTTCAAGTGATTTGTTTGGAAACTTATCAAACCACAAGAATTCAAATATAAATTAGTTTCATAGAAGTTGAGAAAGACAGAATCTGCATATCATCCTAGTGTTGTGATTACAGCAAGCTGTATTCTGAGCTATGTTTGAAAATTAATCATTTCTCTTATCATCCTTGGTTAATTTGTAGCTGTTAAAGAAATATGTAGCTAAGAATAATTTAAGCTTCTTACTAGATGGAACCAGTGATCAAAAGTTTACTGACTGATACTATCTCTGGTAGATTTCTTTACACTTCTATCTTTATTAACAACAATCTTTGTTTAGGTTTTCTTGAAAGCAGTTGTGATCTCAAATGTGACATTCATATTATTTTGTGATTATGGAATATGAAAGCAAATGTGATGCAATTATATTGAAATAGAGGTCACTTCTGTTGATGAATCCAGAAGTATACTTTGCTATCCTAAGCAAAAATTCCAAACTCAGATTCAGATATTCTGCTGACATACAAGCTCTACAGTGGGTGAAAGTAAAAAATTCAGGTCTACCATGCAGCCCAAAACATCTGTACAGCGTCCAAGATAATTCAAAATACCAATAAAGTTGTTTTCTTTCAGAAAATATTCTTGTTGTAAATTGTACCTGGGGTTGAAAGGTTGCAACTGGCGATCCAGTCTTGAACCTGGACCTTCAGTATAGTTATTAAAACTGGGATTATGGTAATCTGCACTCATAGGGTCCCAGTCATCTTCATTAGGTAGTAGTGAACGGCTTGCCATGATGCTCCTGAAAACTAAAAACCAAAACACTGTAACACAAGTTTAATTTATACACTAAAAGTAAAGTAAAGCTGTCCCACTATTTGCCATGTGGGCACTTGGGGGGAGAGGTGGAATAGCTCCTACTCATTCTTAACCTTGACACTAGATAGGGGTGAATGGTTAATGTCATATAACCCATGAAAGAACCCTGGTACCCATTAGATAGGAGGCTGGGTCAGCCCCAGAGCAGAGGCTAGAGGTGACTGAACCCCAGTCGTCCAGCCCGTAGCCAATTACTATACTGACTGAGCTACCCTGGCTCTTAATTCATACACTAGCAGAAATAATGATAAATAAACTGCTGCCCAGTTCTATATTGATATCAAGCAAGCTCAAATAATAATACTTCTGATTGTATTCTGAATGTTCCTGGTTTCAATCCTAGCCATAACAATTCACTTAGGTTATGTGTTACAAAATTATTTATTTTAGACTTATCCATTGCCTGTTGACAGTGTCTTGCTTTCAAAATCATATTTAAAAGGATGGATCTTCCTTCATTATCAGGTATACAGAGAGAGACACACTCTTCGATCTGGTACACCACAATTTTTTATCCTGTATGGTCCACATTTATACACATGAGTTCCAAGTTCCAAGATCATGCTACCTGGATAATTTGATCCCTGCAAAGTAAGCACCTTTCTAATAACTAGAGAGGTTGGTGCTCAGCTGATGACATCATGTTCATGCCTTGTATTATGCTATGTATATCAGAGTTTGTTTGAAATTTCTCCATGTTGTACACAGCAAAAGACAATGACAGCAGGTATTCACCTGCAAAGGGGAGTATATTAAATCTCTTTGTCAATGAGGCTTCTAAGTTCTTCAATTAATATTACAAGATTAGGCCACGGAAATACTGGCATTAAAAAGAATTAAATGTTTCAAATATTATTAGAGAAACTGGGGACAACAGAAACGGCTGAACATAGGCAGAATAGAAAAGCAGTCAATGGCACATAAGGCATTGGTATGAAAAGATCATGTACGCCTGAAGAAAAGACAGGGTGACCAGTTACAACAGAAGAGCTCGAGCACTGGAATTAATTCTATTCCTTGAGTT